TATATATATATATATATAGTTTTATTTTATAACAAAAATTATTAAAAAAGGTATACGATAAAACTGATATTTGATATTTAGTACAATTATATTATTATAATTCTAGATAATGACCAAAACAGTAATGGAACACTATAAACCTAACAATGGTAATTTTATTGAAATATATGGTGGAACAGAAGTATTTAAAAAAAAGAAATGTGTATATAAGATATTATTTTTAAAAATAAATAAAACAATCTGATAAATCAAATGGGGTTTGCCAATGTATGTACATATAAGACTACAGTTGTTAAAAAAAAACTTTTAAAAAATAAATAATATATTGTATTGTTCGTGATTGACATATCAATAATGACTAAAATATTTGTCATATGCAATGTTTCTGCAATGTATATATAAGATTGATAAATATGAATCAGAAATAAGTGTGGGAGGACCCCACTAAAGACAAAAAAAGCATGTCATTTTATTTTTAAAAATTTGGCCTATATGGTCTCAACGAATATACAATAAAATGGTTTTAAAGTTACCATATCTTACGGAAAGAAAGCAGTTTACTAGTGTAAATTATGCATTGTCTGAGTGTACTAATCCAATGTGGCGTGCCTCATGGTTCAATCTTTGGTCCGCTTGCCTTTTTATTATACATAAATAACTTACCAAAAATTTTAAAGAAATGTAAATTAAGTATGTTTGCAGATGATGCTATCATATATTATGCATCAAACAATGACGATGCAATTTGCCAAACAATAAATGAAGAACTTTCTCAAATTCATGATTGGCTAAAAATCATATTATTAACCGCTGCTTTACATAGGAAATTGTACGTTCATAGTTTAATTGTATGTTCACATTCACTTTTACTTCTCTTTTTGGAAAGTAATTACGACACAATTACTCAAAGGTGAATTATTATTACATACCGTGAAACATCAATAAAATATATACAAGTTTAACAACGTGTACGTTGGTTCATACTTTATATTAGTCAATGGTGAACATTTTTTATTCCCAAAATCATAATTGGTAGGTTATTGCCCTTTTAAAGGATGATAAGCTTTAATAATATTAATAAATAATAATAATAATAATAATAATAATAATAGTTATAATAATGTAAAATCACTAAATGTTGAACCACTGTTTATAAAACTCTAGTAGGCCTATTGCTTACTCGATGTGATATATTAACACATTCCTATTAAGTCTAGTCTCTATTACCAAATAAAAATCCACCGTACGATACATGTGGTGTTGTTAGTACGTTAATATTACAACAATTTGTATTAATAACTATAGTATTTGTATGTAAGTATTTTGATTCGCAGTCTTCCTTTAAATATATTCTCAAATTTAGGCACAGACCTACATATTATTTAAAGTTTTTGTATCCTTTAGGTGCAGACTTTGTTTGCTTTGTAATCATTGAAAGCCTTCTGCCATTCAGGTAGGTCATTAAACTTCCAGCTGTAGTAATCGTTCCTCCATAATTCTTCTGTTTCGGACATGTCAGCTAAAATAATTAATGAAAACTGAATAATATTTTTAACAATACAAATAAATTCATATAAATCTGAATATTGTGACGCACTTTCTACACAGCAATAATTAGGAATATTCAATTAGTACTAGAGTACTTTGAACATTTTCGTTATATGTTATAGGCCTACCATATTTTTACAAAGTGAAGTTTAGAGTATAACTGATTATATGATCTTTGAACAGTAATAAATTTAAAATTATGGGAAATATAAAAAAAAATATTGAAACCATCAACAAAATATTTTTAACACGCAAAAATATTGGCAGAAAGCAGAAGGTGGAGTAGTTTGATTGAGAAAGGATTTTAATTGAACATTTAAATATAAACGAAATGCTTCGAGAAAATTTACAATAAAAACAATCAACTTAAAAAATGTTTATGAGTAAAATATAACTTTGTACAAGCCTAAATAATGACAGTAAAAATAAAAATACAAATTAAGCAGACAACATTTACAACAAAATATAACTTTGCAAGAAACACTCCAACGTTCAGCACATGTATGTTGGTCTATTCATATAGCATACCTGCAAATTGCTTGAGTTTTGGTTCATACGTGCTCCAGAAGGCACACTTGTCGGCTCGATAAGCTCGTTCAGATGACGACATCGGATTAATATCGAGGTAGTTAAGTTCAGGAATAGTAAACTCTGGCCAGAAGGTAAGCCTACCTCTAAAATCGCTTGGCTAAAATAATCCCAACTTTGCTTTGAGAGGAGATGATAATAGATGTGTATAAGAGACAGGTATCTCATAAACTCCACCGACAAATTGCGGTCAATGTCAGACGGCTGTTCTAAAGAGTAGATAGGTGTTCCATTAAGAAAAGGCAACCCGAACACAAATGGAAGTTCTTCGGCATGACTAGCTCCAAGCCAGTCAAAATCGAGACCAAATATCGAAACTTTCGGAGTATGAGACATCACATAAGCATACACTTTGTTACCAACTGAGGCATGCGCGCGCTGTACTGCGTCACTTGGACAGACAAACTGAAAATCTGTGGCCAATCGAACACTTGAATCAAAAAAGTTAGCTTCAGGGTCGTCTGCTTGAGACCAGTCGGTGTATTCGAAATATATAGAGTCCAAAATAAGAGGATTTGATGCTTCTTCAATTGGAACAAAAACCACTGGAATAAGATTAAGGAACTCGGATTTGGAAACTTTAGGAGTATCTGGTGATAGGTAGTCTGGTAGATAAAAGTAGGAAAATGTTCCTTCATCCTTATTTGTTCCAATGATGATGTTTGTATCAGTTTTAAACTCTTCATTTTGTATCAGAATCTCTGGACTGCTTTCAATAAATATTCCGTCTACTACGGGCCCCGGATAAATAGTTATCTATTAGCATAAAAAAATATTAAAATTATTTGAAAATTACAGGTTTACAGGAATACAGCCTATTTATTTAGTAAATGAATGTATTTGCCAAAATACCCGATTAGGCAATTTGTTAGAAGTATAGTTTTCTTTATTCTATGCTTTTAATACATTGATGATTTACATTGTATAATACATCAATTGAACCAACCACACTATTTTCTATAGTGTGTAATTATTAGCATTATTAACAACATATTCATTAGACCCCTTTGTTTGAATTTGATACTGTTTCTTCATACTAAATATAACAATAAATTTGAGTTGATTGGCTCAAAAAGACAAATACATACTATATACCGTACAAAGGCAAAGTTTAAATTTTAAAACCAGTTGCAAGTGGCCGAACACCTAAAATATTGTAATGAATGCCATGGCATTAATAGGTCTTATACTTCTACAAGAATATTGTCTATTTTGGTTACATGAAAACATAATTAAATCACCATAATCTTACCCCAACAGAAGCATTTACAACAGCTCCAGGATCGACACCTTTCATGCATTCTACAAATGCATTGCTATCCGTAAATTCACAGCCTACTTTCTTACCAATGGTGATTGCTAAATTTTTGGATTCTTCCCGTTCTGAATAAGCCCAATCACAAAGAGCAGTTCCACTCTGAAATTTATAATCCAATGTATGTATGCTGGCAAATTAAGGACACTGACAAAGTTGGCATAGAACAAAGAATTTCATCTATAGAAATGTTTGTCTGCTGTTTTGACTCAAATGTGTATCGTCTTTTGACGATACACATTATTTTTAGGAAAAGGTTGATACATAATATATATTATAGTATAAATAAAATCTTTCATAGGATAATAATTATTTATATCACTGTATAATAATAACATTCATTACTATTAATAAAAAATACTACCGGTACTACTGCTAGCACCACCACCACCACCGCCGCTGCCAGCAGCAGCTGCAGCAGTAGCATTAGTAGTAGCAATAGCAATAGCATCAGTAGCAGTAGAAGAGCAGTAGTAGTAGCATCAGTAGCATTTATCAATCATCAATCATACATAGGCCTACCTCTAAAATCGCTTGGCTAAAATAATCCCAACTTTGCTTTGAGAGGAGATGATAATCTACACTGGCCGATCCAGCACTTTCACCGAAGATCGTCACACGTGATGGATCACCTCCGAATGCTGTGTAATGTAACAACAATTAATTTTTGAACAGTGTAAATTCTACAAAATATTACGTTCAGAAACAAACGTGTTACTGGTATCAACATTACATTATTATTTCAATATTTGCAAAAAAAATGATACAATTTTTAAAACATCAAGGCAAAAATAGTCACATCAATGCTATGTGATACAGCAAGAAAAAGTAATTGAAGCTGGATTTATGAATATTCGCGAAAAATGCCGTCTTTAGCGGGGAGCGCTAGATATTTGCAGGAGGTCCCAGAAAGAAAAAGGTCAAAAGGTCACTCCTGTATAAATGAATGAAACACATTTAAGTTACTTGGGGAACCGTCTTCTGTCTTGTCACCCTTCCACACAGGCTCCTCTTAAAATGTGTTTCGTGTTAGGCAAATGCAGCACGCCGACAAAAATACCACCACTGTTACACTTTTCGGAATGTGGTAAGCTTTTTTAATCATAGGCCTATCTGTAACTTATTTCGACAATCCGACATGAAAATAATTTATTGCCCCAGTATGTTCCAAGATCGCTACAAACACCAAAGTGGGAGCCAGAAACGAACCATGGATACTAGCGATAGAATAAGAAAATTATGATTTTCATTATTAACCTGACCTATAGGGAGAGGGGTGTAAAAAGTAAACAGACACATGTTATCTCACCTCTGATCTACATTTATTTTTAATTTAAGAACCAGTATTTTGCCCAGGCTCAGTGTTCTTATTTTTTTGGCAGATTTCAGACTCAAAATGTTCTTAATTTACACACATACAAAAGTATTATTTTACATTGGTAACAGTGGCCCGGTAAAAATGGCCCCTCAAAAAAAGGCCCAGAAAAAATGGCCTAGAAAAAAGGCCCTGGTATAAATGGCCCCAAATGACACCTACTGTACTGTATTATAGAGGGTATTACATAGTTGCACCTACTGCACATAAGGTACAGATATAATTTTTTTGGTTTTTTTCTAGATTTTTAAAATAAAAATCTCATTTGACATTTTACCTCAGCCTCAATTTGTTCTTGTTTTGTTCTTAATTTTTAAGCAATTTCAGCCTCAGTGTTCATATAAAATATGTAAAAAAGTGTATATATATGTATAAATTTTTATAGAACACGTCAAAATAAGAGATTGTGAAAATGTATTTCCTTGTTACGTCGCGTGACTCTGGTCGACTGAAACTAACTAAAAACGATTGTCAATATAGGCCTATATTCAAAGTATACCTAAAGCTCACTTAACTGAGTAAGCTTATTGTACTTGTTTTGTGTTGCTTGGTGTTTTCTATAATATAGTTTTTCCACCACTATTATATGAACACTTACCTATACTAGGATGCACTAGACCTATATTACTACGCTGGGCAATGCTATTCGATAAAGAGAGGAAATACTTTATTGTGGTTGATTATGACAATATTGCTTGAATATTATTTGAGAGGCAAATTTGAAATTCAGTCCGAGTTTAAATAAGGCCCAAAACAGAAAATTTCAGCATCGTCTGGCGGTGATCAAACGCCTCGACATGTGAAAATGTACCGTACTGTACGCGTTTTACAAGTACAAACGTTTAATGTTGAAAACTGAAGAGACAACGACTGTAACATATCTTAATAGATGAGAAATAATCAAGCAGTGAAATGAAATTATAATGTGGCATGGCGGCCTACTTGTATACGGACACGCCGGGGATCGTAAATATGTAGACGCAATGGCTGTATTCGACTGGTCGTTCTTCGTTAAACCACGCCCACCTGCGCAGTGGTAAAATCCTACTTAACGAAGACGACCAATCGAATAGAAAACTGGTAAATACGCGACAAAACAAAATGGCTGCATAGTATACCGCGATACACGCTGCACTATGAAGGCTGCTTCGGATTGTGGCAGTATGGGTTTTTCGTAAAAAAATGTTTTCATCCAGTTTTTTTAATTCTGTTAGCCTACAATTATTTTTTGACTTCAATGTGGGTATTGTAATTTATATTTTCTGAAATTTAATCTAAATTATGTTAACGCAAATGTTGTAGCTAAACTAACCGATCGGCCATATTTTTTTGGTCACGTGCATAACTTAACTCTAATTGACGCATTCTGGTTACGTTAATTTTCGTTGTCAACAAAATCTATTTTACGAACCAGTCGAATGAAAATAATACTCAACTCAAAATTCGTACTCAACGAAATGAACCAGTCGAATAAGCCCAATGACTCCAAACAAACACAAATTCCTAAAATTTAAGATGAAGTAAATAATAATATATAGGCGTAATACTAAATGTTCTATTCCATCGCGTAAGTATTTCCAAAAGTTCAAATGCCATGAGGCAGCTTCGTATCTCTTGAATTTATTGAAAGTTTTCATTTTGTTTAAAGTTTGTTTAAATACCGTACATTGGTGATCATACTTCATGAATACGTTTGTATTTACGGTTCACTGCAAGTAGGTCGATGATTGTTCTATTAAATTGTTAATATTATGCTTATGAAATACCCAGTCGATTCTAAACGAAGTAGAATGTTCTGAATATCCTTTAAAATATTTGTTTTCAAATAGTTAAAAGATATTTCTGCTGTAAATAGCGTAATGTTTGTTTACAATATATGAGCATTTCATCAGGTGAAAGCCATCAGAAGGCTCTGTCTTTGGATTCGATCAGAACACTTAAAAGTACCCCGACTAAATGCGCTCAATTACAATATCTTGCACTAGGGCCCGTCACCACCTCCCTACGCCGCTGTAAAAAAAACACTCTAGTTTTATCATATAACTGACGAATGCATGATGTTGAATATGAAATAATTATTATTAAGAAATAATATAAAAAGGTCAATTTTGATAAAATGTTATTTCTTGAATTATCATAAATGTATTGTTAGCAGTTTTTGGAATTATTTTTTGTTTGTTTTTGTTTTCAACAATAAGTTTGTTTACCCCCAATGTTTTGGTTCACCCATTTCAAAGCCTCTAGCTGGTCGAGTAGTCCAACGTTGCCGGGATAGTCATCGTCTCCTGCGGGGAAAAATAGACATTGCAGCGGAGTTATATTTAGAGGTATATTCTCTATACAGGCCAGTAACCGGAATTCCTTAAGAGATTTTTTCTAGAATATCCATAATCCAAAAACATTATTGTTTTCAAGATTAAATACTTAAATCTCAGAATGATACTTATAATATATAGTATTAGAATAATTTATTATCTTCTTCGCATAATAATTTAAGCCTGTACCAAGGACTTTTAACCTTGCCTATACTCTGTAATTAGCAGATCAAATGTAGCTGGAAAACGATAACCTCTATTTCAAACAATATAGTTAGCAGGTTAAAGTATGAGTATAGTTCGACCGTACCTGTTGTTAGAAAACCATAAATGTTGAGCCTGTAATTGATGGTTACCACAATGACGTCGCCGATGGCAGCTAATACCACCCCAGAGTACACGTCTGTTGAGGCAGTGCCTGTGCGACCCATGCGAGCCACATTAAATTTTTTTTCAGGTTATCCAGTTTTGCAAAGACGTAGGCCTAGCCTATATTCCTGTCTCTTATACACATCTAGATGTGTATAAGAGACAGATAATCTACAGTAAACATACTATTATATTTCAAAGCTATGCTGTTATTTAATGTAACTCATAAATGAATGGAATTTTGCTGATTTTGTACCTCTTACTCAGAACATAAACACATCATACATTGGGAATTCAAGTTTATTTCCTGAATTGATTTCTAGCTAAAATTAATTCTACCCTACTAAAATAATAACTGAACACCGAATCAAGGACTCCTTACCTTAGATTGGGGTACAAAGATGTTTAAGTACAAGCAATCATCTTCACCGCCACTGGACTGGATGCACATTGGACTATATTCCGTCGCGTTCAGGGTTCCCATCCAAGGCTCTTTTGGGCGCGGATTCTCAAAGCGCAAATTACCGACTGGGGGCTCGGCGTATGGAATACCCTTGTAGACATCGATATACTTATTGACACCTATGTACGAATCTTCTGAGAAAAGAATTGTCTTTCCTGCAACTTTTCCCAATGTAGTAGTTACGTGTGGAGATTGAGAGTAAACTAACGATATGATACAAGAAAACGTCAGAGCGTTGAAGGTTAAAGAAACCATGATGCTTGCCACGTCCTAAATGGACTAGTCTTCAATAACTCTTACAATATTCTAAGTGTAAACGGTTTTATTCACCACGGTTAACCGCACACTAATAATACGTCTTCAGATCATGTTTACTCAGTAAATGAAATACGACAGGGGTGTTAAATTTAGACTTATTATATCCTCCATATAAAGTAAATTTAGATAATGAATGATATGTTCCATCATTTTAAATCACATATTTTTATTGTTAGGGTGAAGATTGTGTTAACGCGTTCTTACGAAGTTCAAACTGTGCAGTAAACTTCAGATTCTTGGTAAAAATATAAACTTGGATTTACACTTGAGCATTCACATGGGCTATTAGGCCTAAGCATATTCTCGCCTTTTATTAACAAATACTATGTCTTTGTAACCAATCTATGTTTACTCTCGGAAAGGTGCGGCCACACACGCCAACTTACATTACTCACATTAAATGCCAGTTAAAGGAATTGTTTGGTATAACCCAAGGCTAGGTGATTAAATTTTGGTGACCAACCGGCGTATTGGGGTGTGCATGAGGACCACTCAAAGGAAAAACGTCCCAGACCAGATATTTCAAAAAATAATCAAATGATATGTTCGAAACCTCGTGAAAGGTTTAATCAAGTAACAAGGAAGAAATTGTGAAGTGCTGGTGACGATACAAATACTGGGGTGCATGTGAGGGCCATTAGGACCCAGACCAAAATATCTTTTGATTGAATCAATGGTTGAAAATGACGCTTTCCATAATAGTTTGTCATGTTTTAATAAAGAAGTGTTTAAATTCTGGTCACGATCCGACGTTTGGTGTGGATATGAGGACCATTTAAAGAAAAGTTTACTGTATTAGACCTACCCGTAGGCTGAAAAAATAGGTATATGATGAATATTTAAATTAGTTCAATTACAGTAAATGTGTACATCGTTCTATATAGTATTAATACAAGGAAGTAAATAAATGTTTCTATTGGACTTTGTTTATTCAATAGCGATATTTCACATACAATCCAGGACGCATCATCAGGCCAACTGGTGCTCTGTGACTAAAGGTCGTTGACCTGTGACGTCAGATGGAATGTCACAGGTGGAACTTGTATAAACAAGCAAGTCCAGTAGAAACAATTTCTTTACTTCCTTGTATTATATGAGTAGTGCCAAAGTGCGAGTCAGCGAGTCATGCGAGCCAATGTGCGAGCCACATTTAATTTTTTTTTCAGGTTATCCAGTTTTGCAAAGACGTAGGCCTAGCCTATATTCTTTGGCCTAGTAGATGCAAATGAATAACACACCGGGGAGCTTTGCCTGTGTAGTCCAGTCATGCGCAGTACATATACTTTTGACTTTTTCGAATCGTCGATCCGAAAGTATGCAGCGCTGATAGATGTTGTTAAAATACAGATATACAGATACATACATACAGATATATTTATATATACTGTATTTATATATATATATATATAATTTTATATATACTGTATTTATTTATATATTTTTATATTTATTTGTATATCTATATTTGTATATTCATTTATATATATGTATATATTTATTATATATTTATTTATATATTTATTTTATATACTTATTTGTATATATATATATATATATATATATTTATTTATATATATATATATACTGTATTATTATTTCATATATACTGTAATTATTTATATATTTATTTATATATGTGTTTGTATATTTATTTGTATATTTATATATATATGTATATGTATTTATATATATTTATAAATTTATATGTTTATATATTTATTCATATAATTATTAAAAATATATTGTTTGTATATTTATTTGTGTATTTATATATATATATATTATATTGATATATATATTTATATGTTCATATGTTTATTTATATATATATATTTATTTATTTGTATATTATTTATATATTTATATATATATTAATATGTTCCTATATTTTTTTAATATATTTTTTTAATTTATATATATATATATATTCATATATTTATTAATATATAGATAAATATATGAACAAATAAATATATAAATACATAAATATATATAAATAAATATACAAATAAATATATAAATGAATATATGAAATATAAATAAATATATAGATATATATATATATACAAATAAATATAAATATAAATATAAATATATTAGTATTTATATATATATATATGTATAAATATATATATAAATATATATATATAAATACACAAATAAATATATAAAACATATATGAACTTATTAATATATATACATAAGTATATAAATATATAAATATATATAAATAAATATACAAACAATATATAAAACAATTAAAAAAATTATATAAATGAATATATAAATATAAATAAATACATATACAAATAAATATATAAATAAATGTACAATAAATATACAAACAAATATATAAATAAATAAATAAATATATACAGTATATATAAAGTAATATATATAAATAAATATATAAATAAATACAGTATATATATAAATATATCTGTATGTATGTATATGTATATCTGTATTTTAACATCTCTATCAGCGCTGCATATATACAAATAAATATATAAAAAATTATATGAACTTATTAATATATATATAAATATACAAATAAATATATATATATATATATAAATATATAAATAAATATATGAACATATTAATATATATAAATATATATAAATAAATATACAAATAAATATACAAACAATATATAAACGAATTTAAAAAATTATATAAATGAATACATAAACATATAAATATATATAAATACATATACAAATAAATATATAAATAAATGTACAAAAAATATATAAACAAAAAAATAAACAATAAACAATAAATATATATATAAATATACAAATAAATATAAAAATATATAAATCAATATATAAATATATACAGTATATATAAAATAATATATATATATAAATATATAAATAAATACAGTATATAGGCCTATATATAAATATATCTGTATGTATGTATATCTTTATCTGTATTTTAACAACATCTCTATCGGCGTTGCATACTTTCGGATCGACGATTCGAAAAAGTAACTAAGTCTAAAGGTGTGTGTACTGCGCATGACTGGACTACGCAGTCAAAGCTCCCCAGTGGAAAAAAAAAAGGATTTAAAATGTATGGCTCGCATGGTTTGCGCATTGGTTCGCATGACTCGCTGGCTCACACTTTGTCACGACCTCGAGGCGCTAAGTGTAAATCTATTATTATTTAACACAATTATTTATATATAATTCATTATTTAACATGGAATCACCCATTATTTATATATAATGCATTTACGTCTAAATGATTATATGTAAATAATTGCGTTAACGTTTCATTATTTATATATAATTAGTTTACTGATTACATTATATATAAATGATGAAAGGCTAACCAAACATTATTTATATATAATAATGTTACTGGTTTCATTATATATAAATAACACATCATTATATATAAATAATGAAAAATAACTTACAATTATTTATCATATATAATAAGTTCACAGATTCCATTATATTTAAATAATGAAAAGGTAACAAATCATTATATTGAAGGCTGGTTACGATTTGGTAGCACATCGAGTGAGTATTTTCATTCATTTGGCCATGTAAGTCAGTGGCACATCTAGATGTCTTGAAATGAGGGAGGGGTGATGGGGGGAGGGCGAAGGTGAAGTGGGGGCTCTATGATCAGTTGAGGGGCGTTAATTCGCAAAATAAATTTGCGGCCAGATTAATGAAAATACTCAATCGATGTACCACCAAATCGTAACCAGCCTTCACCATACCCTCACGATGTCACCGGGGACGCAACTGCCAAAAAAACTATTTTTGGCAGCGAAGGGACGCTACCAATAAACAAACTACCGTGTTTCTGAATTGATTAGCAAGGTACTACATGGCTCAACTATTTTTCACTTAGGGGTTAATTGGTAAAAATCGCACACAAATCGTACGTCACTGACAACGCCGGGGGCGGCAACTCGATTTTCAGATTAATTTTCAGAATAAAGTTATATTAAAAAACTTCTAATAACGAACTGTTGTCTTCAGTTGTCTTGGTTGGTCATTCAACTGTTATTTTATCTATTTTTCCGATGATATTACCATTCTCAATAACCTATAAAACACCCATATAACGTCACCTTAGATCGATCGGTTGCGACGCCGAGGTGACGCTGGTAGGGTCAACTTTCGTCGGAAGGTATCAAGATGATAAACAGTTTCATTGGACTGAATTATTGCTTACAGTGTATG